ACCCGCTACTGAAACAAGCCCTATTATCCCAATGGTCTAGTGGTTGGGATTCTGACATGGAGATGGCAGCGTGTAGTCCAAGTAGCTGGAGACCGGTGACAGTGCTGTCGTGGCGATGTTGAGTGACGACTTCCTGCACGTCGTCATCATCGCTTTCTGGTTCAGGCGGTGCTAGCGGTGCTGTGTCTCCACCGCTTCTGCTTCCTCCTGCTGCGCCTCCTCCTGTTGCGCCTGTTCCTCCTTCACCTGAATCATCGTCGTCGTCATCGTCGCGGCGATCGCCTCTGGGATCCTGCTCCAGAATTCCTGCTGCTGCTTTGTCCTCAGGTGAGGCGTAGCTGTGGCCCTCGTTGGCGTAGACGCGGTTTGCATTCGTCTGCTCGTCGTCACGAAATTGTTGCAGAAAGAGTCGCTCGTAGAAGATAACATCACACGCATTCTTGATTTTTTGGCTTAGGAGATCTAGGATGATCCACGCCTTGTGTTCGTGGCTGATACCGAGATGGATTCCCCAGCGCGCGCGGCTTTTGAACTTCCCGATGGTTGATGTTGGCGGTCGGTATTGAACCATGCAGCCCCAGACGCGGAGCATGGAGGTGTCCCCCTTTCTTCCCGTCCACTTCACGTGCGGCGAGGAGTTGCCAGTGATTGCGGTGGTTGACAGCAGGTTGTGCACCCGCACGGCGTGGTGCATCGCGTAGGTCCAGTAGATCGGTGGGAGCTTTGCCTGCCGCATTAGCGCCCGTACCTTCGTCATGAGGGTGCGATTCGTGCGCTCCGCTACGCCCTGCTGCTGGTGCGCGTAGGGGAGGGAGATGTGATGCTCGATCCCCTTTTGCGCGAGGTAATCCTGCAGTTCCTTGCTCCTGAACTCCGCCGCACCATCGGACTGCCAAATCTTTAATTTCTCCCCAGATTGCCATTGCGCGTGCGCCAGCCACAGACGGAATGCTTCGTAGGCTCTGCTACGCGCTTCCACGTTTACGACCCACACGTGGCGCGTTCCGACATCGACGAAGGTGAGTGTGTAGAGTTCGTCGTTGATGCCGCAGTGTAGTAGCAGCGGCGGCGCGGGCAGGGCAGGCGCGGCAGGCAGGTAGGCAGGGAGGCAGGCAGGCAGACAGGCAGGCAGGCAGGCTGGCAGGCAGGCAGGCTGGCAGGCAGGCAGTGCGCTAACAAGGCAGGTGCTCATTAGTGGCGGGAAGAGCAGGCGCTCGCCAGGCGAGCAGGGCCAGAGAAAGTCACTGTAAACCTTCTCAAGCTTGGCGTAGCGATTGGTTCCTGGCTCGAGTAGGGGGAAGGGCTGGTGACTCAGCGCAGCTTCGGGGCAGACAGTGCAGCTGCGCGGGTGAGTCCCTCTCACTTCGGAGCCGTCAGGGCGCAACAGCGCGCCAGGTGCAAAGACGCCGGCTTCGATGCAATTCATCAGGGTCACGCTCGAAGGGCGACCTAGGCGCTGATGCCAGATGGCATCGTCGGCGCGGAATCCAGATGTGCGCATGTAGCGCTCCAGTGCGGCTGCGGGGTCTTCGTCAGGTGCCGGTGCAGGTGTAGGCGGAATAGGGGATGTTGGTTCCGGGGATCGTGCCAAGTACGAACGCCGTTCGCGTGGTTCAGGGGCAGGTCCGTAGACAGTGCGTCGCAGGGTGAGTGGTTCACTTCCCCAGTCAATGGTGTCCGAGGGGTCACTACCTGAAGGGATGTCAGGAGGCGGTGGTCCAAACGCAGGGCGGCGCGGAGGTCGTCCGAGAGGAACAACAGGAGGCTCGACCTCGGCATGCGCAGGTTCTTCTTCCTCTTCCCCCCTTTGATCCTCGCGGAAAGCTCCCCAGCCGCTCGTCTCGCCGCCTTGTGCGGCTCCCCATCCGCCGATGTATGCGCCTGTTGCTGCGCCCCATCCGCCGGTTGCGACGCCCCAGCCGCTGGTGTCGCTCGTTCCCCATCCGCCGGCGCTCCCCCACCCCCCTTCATTGGAGGCGCTTTCCTCGTCCTCCTCCCAGGCGAGCGTTCCGCGTGCCTCGGCGAGGCTCTTTCGCCGAAGCTCTTCGGCTTCTTGTTGCGCCAATGCCTCTTCTTCCGTGGGCGAGAGCCGTTTCTTGGAATCGCACCGGTGAGAGTAGATCTCTACCGCCTTTCGTTTGGTGTAGGGCCGGGGATTCCCATGCGCGTCGAAGGTGCCGACGCCAACGCCGCGGAGCATTCCTTGGAGATGCTGGGATGCGGGTCCGGGAAGAGGGTGTTCTGGTGTGCCAAATACGACTCGTGTAGCTGTTTCCAACTCCAGTTAGAAAACCCTCTTCAGGCGGTGCGTCTCGCTCTGTTTCGCGAATGGCGGCAAGGCCACGGCCGGCGATCGTGCTCGTCGAAGACGTTGGTGTGTGGCAGTTCCTGCAGACGCCGTCGGGATCGGGGTCGTGCAGCGCGAGCTCGCGGGGGTGTGAGTGGTGTGGCACCCAGGGGCGCCCATCAGGGTGCTTCCAATCGCGGCGATGAATGTGTTCGAAGCGCAGGGGGACGAGGTCAATCAATTCCTGCGAATCGCCGCTGCAGTCGGGAATGTCGAAGTCGAGAACGTATACGCCGTTCTCGGCGCGCGCCCGTCCGATCTGCTTGCGCTTCTTGTTCGGCATCGTGAGGTGGAGCAGGATGTCGCGCGTCTCGGGGTCGGTGCTGAGGATGACTCCGCAATGCAGGAATTGCGCCGCCGAGAGTAAATTAAAGCACAGGTTCTGCACAATCAACACGTCGTGAAGTGTGATGTGCATTCGGCTCCGTCGTGCCTTGAGCACCACGATACCTTGCGCGCTTGCGCGCAGCCGCGTGTTGTTCGCCACTGTGACGTAAGTGACGACGGGAGTGGGGACGGCGTTGGATATGTAACGCTCGGAGCCCACCATGTGCTGCCCACAGCAGCTGTCCAGGTACCAGATGTTGTAGCGCCTGTTGTTGTTTCGCGCGAGCAGCGCCAGCCGCGGAGTGACGATGTGTGGAGTGTCCACCTTCAGAAACTGTTCGCGCGCGATCCAGTCGATTGGTGCCGGCCGCATGTCAGGTACGTGCGGAGGGCTCTCAAGCAGCGGGACTGGTAGATTCCAGTCCTAGTTGTCGTCGTTGCTGTAGTTGTGATGCGTGCTGAATGGATTGTTGTTCGGAGATGCCTCGATTGGGTCGGGCGCCGGCTCAGGTGAGAGTGAGCGTGCGCGCGGGCGACGAGAGCCGCTCGTCATGGTCATGTTCCCTATGACGTTGCGGACGGGGGCAGCTTGTGGTGGCTGCTGCTGCTGCTGAGTTGTTGGATTCAGGTTGCGCGGTGGGGGTTGAGACCCCTGGGCGGTACGCGTGTCGTTTCTTGCGTCTTGTCGGCCGGACCAAGTGCTCGAATTGGTCTGGCGAGGGCGAGATCGATGCTTGCATCGATCCGCCAGGTGCCCGAAATTTCTGCAGATCTTGCTGTCAGAACATTATAGCTTATACATTTGTGTAGGCTGTAGTGGGGTAGCCCATAAGGGGTACAACCCAATTAGGGTTAGTACTTGTACCCAACTGTTTCATAGTTCAATCATTCTCTCGTTCTAAACTTCACATGGTATCAGAGCTGGTTCCCTCGTGGGAACTGTTCCTACGGCCCACCGATCTTTTTTTTCCTGCCCGGAGCGCGCTTGGCCCCTGCCCGAGTCGCGCCCAGTGTCGTTCCCCCTCTTACGGCCCCTAACGGCCCCTCTTACGGGCCCCTAAGGGCCCCGTCGCGCCGCCCTTGCGGCCCCGTAGCGCCGCCTCTGCGGCCCCGTCGCGCCGCCCTTAGGTGGCCCTGTCGCCGCCCTTTCAGCGGCCTCGTCGCCGCCCCTAACTGCGGCCCCGTCGCCACCCTTCAGCGGCCCCGTTGCCGCCCTTCCGCGGCCCCGTCGCCGCCTTTCAGCGGCCCCGTTGCCGCCCACCCCTTCCGCGGCCCTGTCGCCGCCCTTTCAGCGGCCCTGTCGCCGCCCTTCCGCAGCTCCGTCGCCGCCCTTTCAGCGGCCGTGTCGCCCCCCTTCCGCGGCCCCGTCGCCGCCCTTTCAGCGGCCCCCTCACCGCCCTTCAGCGGCCCCATCGCCGACTTTCAGCGGCCCCGTCGCCGCCCTTCCGCGGCCCTGATGCCGCCCTTTCAGCGGCCCTGTCGCCGCCCCTACCTGCGGCCCCGTCGCCGCCCTTCAGCGGCCCCGTCGCCGCCCTTCCGCGGCCCCGTCGCCGCCCTTTCAGCGGCCCCGTCGCCGCCCTTCAGCGGCCCCGCCGAGCCGCCTTTGCTGCCGAGCTGCCGAGCCGCTGCGCCGCCGAGCCACCGAGCCGCTGAGCCACCGAGCCGCCTGTGCTGCAGAGCCGCCGAGCCGCCTTTGCCGCCGAGCCGCCTTTGCCGCCGAGCCGTCGAGCCGCACTGCAGCCGAGGCGCCGCCGCCTGTCGGCCTGCCCAGGTCCGCCTCACTTACCTGGTAAGAGCAGCGCCTCTGCCACTGCACTGCCCTGCCCCACTGTACTCACTGCCTGTCTACTGTTGTCATGGCCTCCCCTAGTGTTCTCACCTTTGACGCTGAGGGCCGGGCAGTTGACTTTGAGGTCTCGGTAGATGATCTGCAGCTTTTCCTACAGTGCAATAGGGCAGACGGTCTCTCCCTGTTTGACCTCACTTCTGGTGCCTCTCCTGCCCCTACTGCTGATGCTGACGCCACAGTTCGCTCACAGTGGGCCACGCGTGATGCTGCTGCTCACCTTGCTGTGCGCCGCCACTTACCGACCACTAAGCGTGCACACTTTAGCCAGTACAAGAGTGCTCAGACCTTGTACGACGCTGTACTTGCACGCTACTCTTCCCCTGCCACTGCTGCACTTAGCCGCCTCATGCTACCGTACCTCTTCCCTGACCTTGCTGCCTTTCCCACAGTCGCTGACCTCATTACGCACCTCCGCACTAGTGACACTCGCTACCGCACTGCGCTTCCTGCTAAGTTCTGCGCCAAGAAAACCCCCCCATGTACATCGCCCTCTACTACATAGTCACCCGGCTCCCTGACTCTCTCCGCGTAGTCAAGGACCACTTCCTCTCAGTTTGCCCCACCACTCTCACCGTTGATCTCCTCGAGAAGGCCCTCCTAGCAGCAGAGAAGAGTATATTCGCTGTAGGAGCCTCTCGTGGTGACCCTCGCACCCCCGTCTTTGAGGGGTGTTCTCCCTCTCCCCTCTTGCCCTCTGTTGCCTCTGCTGCTGCGGCCAACCTCGTTGGTTTCGACTCGGTCGGCGCTGCGTCTGCCCCGAGCGGGAGACGCCGCACCGGCAAGGGCAAGGGGGGCAAGGGCGCTGGAGGGGCTGGCAGGGGCGGTGGAGATGGTGGTGGAGGCAGTGGAGGGAGTGGGGGTGGTGGTGGGAGAGGTGTCGGGGGTGGCGGCGGCGGCATCAGTGGAGGCGGCGGAGGCGGCGGTGGTGGCGGAGGGAGCGGAGGCGGCGGAGGTGGCGGAGGAGGCGGAGGTGGAGGAGGCGGCGGAGGCGGCGGCGGCGGAGGTGGCGGTGGTGGAGCGGGTCGCGACTCTGCGCAGAGGAGTGGCTCAGGTGGTGGTCCGCGCCAGCAGCAGCGGAGTGGTGTGACCCTATCCCCTCAGCAGCTTCGTGAGTGGTACACTGCGCGCCAGCGCGGTGGGGGTTTTGGTCCCTGCTCTTATGTCCTCCGTACCGGTGACCGAGCTGGTGAGCAGTGCGGGGGCCCGCACTCCACCCAGCGCTGCTTCTGTCGCTGACGGACGCGTGGCGTCGCCAGTTCCCTGAGGCGTCAGAGATCCCTCACTGGGGAGATCTGTCTAGGGCGGGGGTTGCCGTCTTTGATCTTGACTATGATGCTATCCTTGCTGCCATGTATTCTGTGACTACTAGTGTTGAGGGCAGGGCTTTTTTTTGGATTTTCACTACTCGGATTTCCAGAGCTGTTTTCTAGGGAACTCTGAAATTCAGGGTTCATTATGAGCGTAACTCTGATTTGTCAGAGAAAAATTCACTTCTGAAAAATATACTCTGGGCACCCAGTATACCTATTTTTCCAACTCTGAGTGCCCTCTCAAGTATTGAACCCAGGCCTTCTGCACTCTTACCATAAAACAACAGAGAGCGTTGTGCTACGCGGTCATCATTAAAACTCTTTACGGACATTATATATTCTTTTTCACCCAGCAATTGGTGGGGGTGGGGGAAGGAGGGAGGGTCGGTCGAAATGCCTATACCCTGTACACAGAAAAGTACATCCGCCACAAATATACACTGGTCTCTCAGAGTAGCTAAAATCAGAACCCTGACAAATCACAGAAAACTTATCCTCCAAAAAACTTACCCAGACACGTCAGAGTGACCCCCTAAAAACCACTCTGATTTTCAGAGAAACTGAGTAATTTACTCTGATAAAAAAACCCCTGGTTGAGGGTGACTGTTACCTGTGTGTACCGCCTGACCCGGGCATTGAGGCCACTGCTCTAGGTGCTGCTGAGGCTGCTGCTCTAGGTGCTAGTGCGTCTGTTGCCCCAGGTGCCAGTGCGTCTGCTGCCCCAGGTGCCAGTGCGTCTGCTGCCCCAGGTGCTGGTGAGTCTGCTCTCTCAGGTACTACGTCGGCTCAGGCCTTCCACACCTTCACCCTTGACTCGGGTGCGTCCCGCTCCTTCTTTCGAGACCGCACCACTCTTACGCCGCTCAGTCGGCCGGTTGTAGTCTCCCTGGCAGACCCCTCTGGGGGTTCTGTCCTTGTTAGCTTCTCCACTGTCTTACCGTGCCCGGCAGCCCCCTCTGGCACCCTGTCAGGTCTCTACCTCCCCTCGTTCTCTACGAACTTGGTGAGTGGAGCGGACCTACAGGATAGGGGGGTTGACCAGTTCACTCCTGCGAGTCAGCGAGTGACCCACTGCACGTGTGCTCGGACAGGCCGACACTTGGCCACGTTCACTCGTCAGCCAGGGTCGAGCCTGTACACCCTTACTACTGAGTCTCCTCCGGCTGCTGAGTCTGGCCAGGTAGCTGCGTCGAGTCAGGTGTTTGCTGCAGCGTCCAGGTCTGGTCCTGAGTCTGCTCCCTGCTCGTGTTGTCTCCTGTCCCACCAGACTCTCCTCTGGCACCACCGCCTTGGTCACCCCTCCCTGCCTCGTCTCCGAGGCATGGCCTCCCGTGTCCTTGTATCTGGTCTCCCTCGGTCTCTCCCTCCCCTACCTCCGGGGCCTGGCCCTACCTGCGTCCCCTGCGTCAAGGGGCGACAGCGCGCCGCCCCTCACTCCTCCGAGTTTCCTCCGACAGAGGCTCCGCTACAGACCCTCCACATGGACGTGTGGGGCCCCGCCCGCGTCCGTTGACAGGGGAACGAGCGTTACTTCCTGTTGGTGGTTGATGACTACTCGTGTTACACCACAGTCTTCCCCTTGCGCAGCAAGGGTGATGTCACTGAGGTGTTGATCGACCGGATCCGCGCAGCTCGTCTCCAGCTCAGGAGGAGCTTCGGCTCGGACTTTCCTGTTCTGCGTCTGCACTCGGACAGAGGCGGGGAGTTTTCCTCTGCCCGTCTGGGAGCCTTCTGTCGTGCACAGGGCATCCGCCAGACCTTCACGCTTCCGGCCTCTCCACAGCAAAATGGGATTGCTGAGCGCCGCATTGGCATGGTGATGGACGTCGCTCGTACGTCCATGATGCATGCGGCTGCCCCCCATTTTCTGTGGCCGTTTGCGGTTCAGTACGCCGCGCATCAGCTCAACCTTCAGCCCCGGGTCTCCTTGCCAGAGACCTCCCCCGCCTTGCGGTGGACCGGGAAGGTTGGCGATGCGTCTGCGTTTCGGGTCTGGGGATCTCGGGTGTTTGTCCGCGACTTGTCTGCGGACAAGATGTCCCCCCGTGCTGTTCCCTGCATCTTCCTTGGCTTCCCCCCTGACGCGCCTGGGTGGCAAATCTGTCCTCCCAACACGTCACCTTTGACGAGTCGGTGCCTTACTACCGTCTCTTCCCCTACCGCACTGCGCCCCTCCCCCCGCCGCCGCTCTTCCTTGCACCAGGTCCTCCCCCGGTAGACCCCCTCCCCCCTCAGGGTCCTGCCCCGTCAGGTGTGTCCCAGGTAGACGCAGTCGAGCCTGTCGAGGTAGCTGTTGACTCTGGTGCAGCTAGAGGTGCTGAGCCTGTGGGTGCCGGGTCTGGGGGTGCTGAGACTGGGGGTGCTGAGCCTAGGGGTGTGGAGTAAGGGGGTACTGAGACTTGGGGTGGTGAGTCTGGGGGTGCTGAGCCTAGGGGTACTGGGTCTGGGGTGGTGGAGCCTGGGGGTGCGGAGCCTGGGGGTGCGGAGCCTGGGGGCGCTGGGTCTGCTCGTGTAGCCGCCAGCGGTGCTTCGTCGAGGCGGGAGCCACTCTCTCCACAGGAGCTGCGCGAGTGGTTTGCCCGCCGCTGGAGACGTGCTGCTGAGACTGGGGGTGCTGCTGGGGCTACTGGAGTTGGTCCTGCTGGAGCTGCTGGCGGTACTAGTGCTGCTGGAGCTGGAGCTGCTGGGGGTGTTGGCGCTGGTGTTTCTACTGGCGCTGGTGCGTCTAGGGGTGCTGCTGAGGCTTCTAGAGCTGACGGTCCTACTGGAGTTGGTGCTGCTGGAGCTGGAGCTGCTGGGGGTGTTGGCGCTGGTGGTGCTGCTGGCGCTGGTGCTTCTGAGGGTGCTGGAGTTGGCGCTGTTGGAGCTGGAGGTGCTGCTGGCGATGGTGCTGCCGCTTGGGGTACTGGTGCCGTCCCTGCTGGTTCTGGAGGCGCTGAGCGGCCGAGGCCGTACTTCGTTCCGCTCCTGGAGCAGGTTCTTGGTCTCCCGCCCTCTCCTGGTCCTGCTCCTTCCTTAGAGTGTCCACAGCCTGTCCAGTCACAGTCACAGTTACAGCCCACCTCCCCTCTACCTGCTTCTTCTCCCTACAGTGGTCCTACTGGAGGTCTTGCTGAGCGTCGTGCGCCTGCGTCTCGTCCTGCGTCGCCTGTTCGTACTTCTCGCACTAGTGGTCGTACTGCGCGTCCGCGTCCTCCTGCGGCCCCCGGCACACACCAGATGGCCATGCGTCCTTCCACTGCTCCTCTGCGTGTCCCGTTGCCGTCTCCTCCAGAGTCCTCTCTTCCTACTCTTGCTGACCCGGAGTCTGACTCCCTTCGTGCTGCTAGTCCTTCGGTCACGCGTCTCCTTGCTACTGTTGTCACTGACCCTTCCTTTGAGTCCACTACTGCGTCTGCCCTAGTTGCTGAGCTTGTTGACTTCGCTGCTCGTTGTCGTCTAGAATACGCTGCCAGTCTCGTTGCTGAGTTTGAGTCTGTCTGTCCTCCGTCCGTCGGGGGTGAGTGTGCTCTTAGCACGGACGTTCTTGAGGACAGGCAGGAGGAGTTCCAGTGCTTTGCTGCTGCTTTGCCCCATCTCGTGTCCACGCTGATTGCCCCTGAGGGAGACCCGGATGCACCAGACATCTCGACTCCTCGATCGTACGCTGAGGCGATCGAGGGTCCCTACTCCTCTCAGTCGCAGTCAGCCATGGACGCAGAGATGGCTTCCTGGAAGTCCACAGGCACCTACGTTGGCGAGGTTCCCCCACCTGGGGCGAACATCATCTGTGGCATGTGGATTTTCAGGGTGAAGCGGCCTCTGGGTTCTCCGCCTGTCTTCAAGGCACGTTACGTGGCTCGAGGCTTCAATCAGCGGCAGGGAGTTGACTACTTCCAGACCTTCTCTCCCACCCCGAAGATGACCACTCTTCAGCGCTTCGGCTTCACGTACTCCTCGCCTCAGGCCACTCCTCTGTCTACTCGCCACTCGCTCTCAGCTCTGCCTTTGGATGAGTCCGTAGAGCCGAGTGGCCCATACCCAGAGCTTGTTGGCTGCCTCATGTACCTGATGACCTGCACACGACCTGACCTTGCATACCCTCTTAGCATTCTCGCACGCTATGTTGCTCCTGGGAGACACCAACCAGAGCACATGGCTGCAGCGAAGAGGGTGTTGCGCTACGTGTGCAGGCATGGGGCTAGTGCTTGGAGGGCGACGTCGAGTGGTCCTCACAGGTCACGCTGACGCTTCTTGGGCTGACGACCAGGCTCTGCAGCGGTCGTCACAGGGTTACACCTTCAGCCTTGGCTCCGGCTCTGTTTCGTGGCGGTCTACCCGCTCGTCCTTTGTTCTCAGCTCGAGCTGTGAGGCTGAGATCTACGCAAGGGCCATGGCTGCACAGGAGCTACGCTAGCTGACCTACCTGCTTACTGACCTAGGAGAGCCGCCTCGTTCTCCTCCAGTTCTGTACGTAGACAACAAGGCCATGTTGGCCTTGTGTCGGGAGCACTGACTGGAGCACAGAACGAAGCACATTGCTCTCCGCTACTTCCTGGCTCGTGAGCTGCAGCAGCGTGGTCAGCTCCGCCTCACCTACGTGGCCTCTAAGGCCAACACTGCTGATATCTTCACCAAGGCCCTTCCGCCTTGTGATCATCAGCGCTTCTGTACTTGTGCCTACCTGGCCTCACTTGCTCACTTCTTGATCTTGTTTGTACTGTACTCTTTCTATACCTGCACTTGCTTGTTTACCTTTATATATATATGATCTTGCATGTGAACTGGCCTTGTGGCCTTGCTCTTGTGCTCGGACTGTGTGGTGACTTTGTGATCCACCCTGAGCTTGCTTTGCTTCGCTTGACTGGTCTTGTGACCACTTGTTCTCCCCCACTTTGCCTATGGGGGTGTGTCAGAACATTATAGCTTATACATCTGTGTAGGCTGTAGTGGGGTAGCCCATAAGGGGTACAAC